AGGAGGCTGGCGGAGCGACCAGACGTCGGCTTGCGGACAAAGACAAGGAGCAAGATGAATGCGACAAGCTCGAGGAGGCAATAGGAGGCGGTGGCGAAGAGGGTGAGGAAGACGAGGAATTGGCTGCCATCGGTGGTGCAGACGAACAGGAAGATGATGACGCAACCCCTACCGAGGAACTCGGGGAACTCAGTCTGGACGTTTCTAGATACGCGAATGACCCGCTCTTCGGCATGGACGATGGTTTCCACAGGCCCCCCTCACCAGATCCGTTTAACGATGGTACTGATCCCATCCCAGGTGCCGGCCAGCCACTGCCCGAGCCACACCCCCCAGTCACCCTGACGAAGGAAGAAGTGGAGGAAAGAGCCTCCGAAATGCAGCAGGTGGCCGAGTTGATTAACAAGGGTATGGAAGGAAGGAGTAACGAAGCCGCCGGAGGGCGAAGCCTTCGCGGCCTGCTGCGTCAGGGGTTCGAGTGCCGTCAGAAGAACAAAGGTGCGGAGTTCGGACCGGATGTTCCTCAAGACCTCGTTGACAAGTTCAGAAAGCTTGTGGATGAGATGGAGAAGTTTCTCTATGTTCACTATGGAGTTGGCAGGTGGGTTTAGATTTGCAGAAAGACTCTGTCTGCTGTGAAGCGGCCACTTAAAGGTCTTCGAAAATCTACGACTAGTGCTTGACAGATTTCTAGCTCACTAATCCAGGTTTGCAATAAACACGCATGTAAGATTAGGTGTAGTTTAAGCACGGCAGTGCATGCGACTGACGAAAAGTGAGTCGGCCTATTGCGTTTGAATTGTGTGGATTTGCAGCAAGCCTGATGGCGTAGATCCTAATCCCATTGTTGAATTTCTTAAAGAAAGTGAATCGGATCGTGCCGATGCTGAGGGCCAATAAGGCTCCGCGGGAGATAGTGACATCGCTGACGATGAATCGTGGGCCCCCCATATAGATGATGCTTTTCACAGACCCCCCACACCAGATCCGTGTATGGAGGGTTCTGATCCCATCCAAGATGGCTGCAAGCCACTCCCCCCGCAGACCCCGCATTTGCCCTAGGGAAGGAAAGAGCGTTGGAAAGAGCCGACGAGATGCTGGTGACCGACTTGATTGCTGCGCGTCTGGCGGCACATAGTAACGAAGACGTGGGAGGTCGAACCCTTACCGGCCTGCTGTGTCAGGCGTTCTATTGCCGCAAGAAGAACAAAAGTGCGGATTTCGCACCGGGTGTTCCTCAAGAAGATGT